TCGGTGACGTCACCTTCGCTTTGCAGAACTCATTTTAAAACACGTTATAACATGTTTTCCCTCGGTCTATGGTTTTAATACAAGCGGTTACACCACACAGTTAGCTTACACACAGTAACTTCAGCTAATATTACAAGCTTTCTCCTCATATATATGATATTTACCAAATGTGGACATGTATGCAAGTAGCTACTAAGACTATTTTAACACTAATATAAAGTTTACTTCGAATTATGAATGCTAACTGTGTTAGCAGCGACTTCGTAGCGTATCCAGGAGCCTGCTGCGGTCATTTAGCCGGTGTAGGTGGCCTTGCAGAGCAAAGACTCTCTCTACAGTTGTTCTTGTTATTACAGACTGTTGCTTCACAAAGCTTGGGCATTTTAACACTAACTGATGGATTACTTGTCCCTGTCGGAGCAGAGAGGAGGAGCCTCCGACTCCACGGCCTCTCCTATTGGTGCAGCAATGATCCTGTCAGTCCTCACCACAGCTGCTGCCGTTTCAGCATCAGAGGAAGAGAGTTTATGAACCCGGCTCGCACATCAGAGATGCTGGTAGTGATTGTTGGGGACTCGGCTAGATTTAAAATTCTGATTGTGCATCACACCCTTAGAAAAAGACTGTTGGACACATTAGGAACAGGGGTGCTGCTTCTAGTGTTTTTGGGTTGGTTAGAATCACATAGTTAGGCTCTTTGTTGGCTCCTGTTCCCCTACTTCAGTTATCCTCTTGCCTTGTTTGTATTTTTGTTTAATTATTTACCCTCCTGGTTACGCAATAAATTAAATCAGTAAATGTGATTTACCAGTAACACCTGGTTTTATGTTGCTTCCCTTTTCCCCTAGCTGGGTCGTAACCTAAAGACTGCCAACATATGGTGACTGGGGAGACAGTGCCATGACATCATATACTGTGATAGAAACCAACATGGCAGCAGTGAACTGACACCTGGCTCTGTGAAATTCAAGTGGTTCCTGCAGCAGAGAGGGGTCCTAGAAGACCTCCCATCAATCCCAAAGAGTCGACTGGAGAGTGCAGACAGGATGGCCACAGTGGATCTAATGGTCCAGACCTACTGTATAAACACTGTTAAAGTCACTAAAATGGTTCTGGTGAAGATCAATCAGAATGATCTAGTGGAAAATTTCTCACACACCGTCTCAGAACCCACAGGTAAGTCATGGAAAGATTTAAAATAGGATGTTACAGAGATGTCCAGGAGTGATCAGTCAAAGCAAGGTGGACTTGTTTAAAGTGTTGAGGACGGTTTTCCTTTCAGCCTAAACACTTCTGTAGTTGAGACAGGTAGGTGGGGAGTAACAGGTGTCGTTTGCACATACTCACACATAGTGAAAGTTGTTTACTGAGACCAAACAAGAGGTCACACAGATGTTAATGTTAGCATGCTAGCTGAGGGGAGGTCTCCTCATTCCTTCTGCAGTTCCCAAACAACTCATAGTTTAGCACTAATCATCAATGAGACGAGCGTTATTTGAGTGTGTCTAAAATAGAGCTGTTACTTTGAACCCTGAGCATCACTCATAAACTATCAAGGCATGGCCATCACGCATCAGAAGACAGATATTTAAATTTTGAAAACCTTCTGAACGAATAGATACCACACTCAGAACATGTTTTCATGATTCATGTTTTCTATAGTAACTTCTAATTCATGTCATTTTTCTGTTCTTCATTCAGAGATTCTCACTGGCTGCCAAAGTGAACTCAAATCTAACCTGAAGAAGAAGTTCCAGTGTGTGTTTGAGGGCATCGCTAAAGCAGGAAACCCAACCCTTCTGAACCAGATCTACACAGAGCTCTACATCACAGAGGGAGGGACTGGAGAGGTCAATGATCAACATGAGGTCAGACAGATTGAAACAGCATCCAGGAAACCAGTCAGACCAGAAACAACCATCAGACAAGAAGACATCTTTAAAGCCTCACCTGGAAGAGACAGACCAATCAGAAGAGTGATGACAAAGGGAGTGGCTGGCATTGGGAAAACAGTCTTAACACAGAAGTTCACTCTGGACTGGGCTGAAGACAAAGACAACCAGGACACACAGTTCATATTTCCATTCACCTTCAGAGAGCTGAATGTGCTGAAAGAGAGAAAGTTCAGCTTGGTGGAACTTGTTCATCACTTCTTTACTGAAACCAAAGAAGCAGGAATCTGCAGGTTTGATCAGTTCCAGGTCGTGTTCATCTTTGACGGTCTGGATGAGTGTCGACTTCCTCTGGACTTCCACAACACTGAGATCCTGACTGATGTTACAGAGTCCACCTCAGTGGACGTGCTGCTGACAAACCTCATCAGGGGGAAACTGCTTCCCTCTGCTCGCCTCTGGATAACCACACGACCTGCAGCAGCCAATCAGATCCCTCCTGAGTGTGTTGACGTGGTGACAGAGGTCAGAGGGTTCACTGACCCACAGAAGGAGGAGTACTTCAGGAAGAGGTTCAGAGATGAGGAGCAGGCCAGCAGGATCATCTCCCACATCAAGACATCACGAAGCCTCCACATCATGTGCCACATCCCAGTCTTCTGCTGGATCACTGCTACAGTTCTGGAGGAGGTGTTGAAAACCAGAGAGGGAGGAGAGCTGCCCAAGACCCTGACTGAGATGTACATCCACTTCCTGGTGGTTCAGTCCAAACTGAAGAAGGTCAAGTATGATGGAGGATCTGAGACAGATCCACACTGGAGTCCAGAGAGCAGGAAGATGATTGAGTCTCTGGGAAAACTGGCTTTTGAGCAGCTGCAGAAAGGAAACCTGATCTTCTATGAATCAGACCTGACAGAGTGTGGCATCGATATCAGAGCAGCCTCAGTGTACTCAGGAGTGTTCACACAGATCTTTAAAGAGGAGAGAGGCCTGTACCAGGACAAGGTGTTCTGCTTCGTCCATCTGAGTGTTCAGGAGTTTCTGGCTGCTCTTCATGTCCATCTGACCTTCATCAACTCTGGACTCAACCTGATGTCAGAAGAACAATCAACCTCCTGGTTATCTAAAGTCTTCAGGGACAAGCCTGAACCAACACAACTCTACCAGAGAGCTGTGGACGAGGCCTTACAGAGTCCAAATGGACACCTGGACTTGTTCCTCCGCTTCCTCCTGGGTCTTTCACTGCAGACCAATCAGACGCTCCTACGAGGCCTGATGACACAGACAGGAAGTGGCTCAGAGACCAATCAGGAAACAGTCCAGTACATCAAGAAGAAGATAAATAAGAATCTGTCTCCAGAGAAAAGCATCAACCTGTTCCACTGTCTGAATGAACTGAACGCTCATTGTCTGGTGGAGCAGATCCAACAGTCCCTGAGATCAGGAAGTCTCTCCACAGATAAACTGTCTCCTGCTCAATGGTCAGCTCTGGTCTTCATCTTACTGTCCTCAGAAGAAGATCTGGACGTGTTTGACCTGAAGAAATACTCTGCTTCAGAGGAGGCTCTTCTGAAGCTGCTACCAGTGGTCAAAGCTTCAAAGAAAGCTGTGTATGTGAACATATATCCATCTACATTTCCTTTATCTTCTTCTTTAGTCACGGAAAAAAACAAATTTTTATACTTGTTTTCTTTTGTTCTGCTGATTCCTCTTCAGACTGAGTGGCTGTAACCTCTCAGAGAGAAGCTGTGAAGCTCTGTCCTCAGTCCTCAGCTCCCTGTCCTCTAGTCTGAGACACCTGGACCTGAGTAACAACAACCTGCAGGATTCAGGAGTGAAACTGCTGTCTGCTTGACTGGAGAGTTCACACTGTACACTTGAAGGTCTCAGGTCAGAATTAATTTATTAATGTAATTTACTTTTGAACAGTCAAGTTAAGTATTGAGACTTCTAATTCACTTTAATGATCTTGTATTAAATGAGGCAGTAATATTGAATTGAAGAGGTTTGCAGACTCAGGTGATCGTCACCTGTGCAGTGATTTTGTTCAGAACAGAGAAACTTGACTTGATATGAAATAAACCACAGATGAGAGTTGAAACATAATGAATTAATAAATGAAGAACTTCAGGAGAAACTGAACAGAAGTACGAGGAGACAACGAGGAAACTCAGCAGATGAACCTACAGACTAAGACTGAGGAAAGACAGAGACTGAAAGACTCAGGGGACACAGGTGAAACTCTTCAGGGCATCATATAACATCATATTTCCCAGGATGATAAACACAACATTTCAGTCAGACAGACTCATCAGACATGAACTCTGTTTCTCCTCCTCTCTGCTTTGGCAGCAGAAACAGTCTGACATCACTTTCACTTTTTAACTGCCTCACATCTTCACAACAGTTTGTTCATCATCAGAGAGAAAAACTAAAACATTCACTCTATAGTAAAGACAAATATAATAATTCTGCTGAGAGAGCTGACCCCCCCTGAACAAACACACATGAACATTAAATCTGACTTCAGTCAACAACATGAAGAACCACGTCAGGAGGTTTGGGTGGTGGAGGATCTGCAGCAGTAAACAGTGTTGACATGAGTGTAACCAGCAGAGACACTGACAGTGTCCACAGTGTTCAAATATCCACGCTGTACACCTGCATGAATATGATTGGATGTTACTGGTGACACAGCTGTGAAGGAGCCAATGAATGTGAAGAACACTAGAAACAGCTGATACCAATCAACCAAGACAACTACGACTTCAGTTCTGTGTCTGAACCAACACAAAGCTTCATTAGTGTCAGCGACAGTTGTGAACATCTAATGCTGGTGTGTGTGTGTGTGTGTGTGTGTGTGTGTGTGTGTGTGTGTGTGTGTGTGTGTGTGTGTGTGTGTGTGTGTGTGTGTGTGTGTGTGTGTGTGTCTCAGGATGTGTCAGGATGTCTGATCACAGAGGAAGGATGTCCTTCTCTGGCCTCAGCTCTGAGCTCCAACCCATCCTATCTGAGAGAGCTGGACCTGAGCTACAATCATCCAGGAGACTCAGGAGTGAAGCTGCTGTCTGCTGGACTGGAGGATCCACACTGGAGACTGGAGACTCTCAGGTATGGAAAGACAACAAGTCTCTCTCCTCTTTTATTTCCTGTCTCCCTGCTCGGGTCCGTCGTCATGAAAGACATCTTCTTTCTCTTAGTTGTGTTCAGAGGAGTGAGTCGGCCTGAATTAACAAACACATGGATCCTCACAAGTCTTTTACCAAACGGAGACATCCCTTCATTAGAGAACATCAGTCTCAGTTTGAGCCATGATAGCAGGATGGATGTAGGTATGACAGTGTCGGTTGGTCTGCCCACCTCTTTGGTCCAGACTGTAATATCTCAACATCTACTAAACATATTGAGATGAGATTTAGTTCAGATACTTATGATCCTCAGAAGATTCGTCCTCTGGGGATCATAAACAGTGACCCTCTGACTTTTCCTCTAGCGCCTCCAGCAGGTTCACACTTTTTCAGATTGTGATAAAATGTGAAAAGATGTGCAGGATGGCGAGAGATTAAACCCTCATGACCTCAGTGACCCCTGAATTTTCCTCTAGAGCTGCCATGAGATTTTTATTTGTGGTCCAGACTGAAACATCTCAACAAATATTGGATGATTGTGATGAAATGTGGTTCAGACGTTCATGTTCCCCTTTCATTCATGTTGTTACATGAACTGTAATAACCTTGGTGATCCTCTGACTTTTCATCTAACGCCATCATCAGGTCAACATGTTAATTTGTCCACTACTTTGGTTTCAAGTCTATTTTCCACCTCAAACACCTTTTCTATTTATATTCTTGATTATTGCACATTTGAAGTCAAAACAAAGAACAAACACAGATTCATTTAATTACATTACAAAAGCTTTGCTGGAACTTCAAAATTATAATTTAACAGTAAAAAACATTCAGTTTTTAACATTAAATTCTCAAGTCAAGTCAATGGACTTTGATTTATCAGATCCTAAAATCCTAAACTTTCCTCAGAGGGCTTTACAATCTGTCCAGCATACGGCCTCTCTATCATTAGAGCCTCTGTTTCAAACATGTAAATGACACTAAACACATTGAATCTGCTGTTAAACTGATCTGTGAACAGTCTGTAAACTGTTGAGTTGTTCATGTGAAAATTCAGGTCAAACTTCATTTTCAGGGGCAACTTGCAGAGACCAATATTTCCCATTCTGTTGAATCATGTAGGAAGACATCAATAAAAACACAGAGCAGATCAGTGGTGACTCTTATTGTTTGTACGTCACATTATCTTCTTCTTCTTCTTCACATCTTTTCCTCACAGACACCAGTGAAAGAAACAAGGAACCAGTTCAGACTGATGAGTTTCAGCCTGTTTCTGTGTCACACTGACAAACTGAGAAACACTGCTTCATGTTGAACAGCAGTTAGGACTCATGTTGGATAGAAAATCATTCTGACTGTTTCTTCCTCCAGGGTGGACCATGGTGGAGAGCACAGGTTAAAACCTGGTCTCAGGAAGTGTAAGTGTGGATTTAATGTGACTAATGATGAGCAAACAGCTGACTGTCAGTTTGTCTTTAAACACAATGTTGATGGTTGTAGAATGGGATGGATAACTCAGAGCTAGGGTTGGTTATAGGTGATTTGCATTCACCCAGGGAATGTCGATTAGAACATTGGAATGATGACGCAACTGATGAGATGGTCACAGGGTTTATTGTTGGTTGAGTGTGGTTCTGCAAACACAAATATAATGTCATATCACAACAGGCTCTGCAACAACTCTCCATCTACACAAGCACTTGACATAATTACAGGTCACAACAATAATAAGTATAAAGAAATACTAATCATTTCACATCTCAAATTAAAATGCTATACAGCCTGACAAGGAAACACATGTATAAATACAGACAGACTGTTTCATTAAAACTGAACAACCTTTTTAATTCTCTCAAGGAGTCTCTCCCTGTACAACTAAACATTCACTGTGCATTGCATGGTCTTATGGTGCCATCTAGTGGCCAAACCTACTAATGGCAGCAGCACCGGTGGTACATAATCTAAAAGAACGGCTGCCACATTATTTACCGCACTCGCCAACGGTACGTGGCGACTCCGAACAAGACGTGACCGAAATAACATGAACCAAACACTAGACAACCTGAACTCAGTGAGGTCAACTCGGCATTTCAACGTGTATTCAACTACATTACCCCCCCTGAGCCAATTGACATTAACCAGCTTACAATAGTTCAGACTTCGCATGAGTGATTTCAACCACTAACAGAATAAACTGTATACCTAGGTGAATGGAAATATTATAGTCAACACTTACTTCTTGTCATGCACGCACAAAAGTCCCAACAACAAGGCGAAGTCGACTTTCTCTCGCAACTCTTGTGGGGAAGAAGACCCGACCATGTTACACTCGTCACTTCCTGAATGAGGCCTTCATTTCCACCAAACCCTCCGTTTGGGCATGCACGCCTCAGCCGCTGAGGTGCCAGGCAACCAAACTGATTGGCATATTGTCACATATGAAACTTATAATTAACAACACATTCCCCAACAACACAATAATTACTATAAACAACATTAAAGAACTGTAATTGAACTACCTACATTGGCACATAGGGGCCTTTTATACAATAGTTGTGGTATTTATCCATTCAAACGTTACTGATGAGAGATGTCTGACTACATGTGTCACTGATAACTTTTACAGGAAATAATAACAATCAGTCAGTAATCAATCAATAATCCATCAGATGAGTCAGATGATAAACTGTCTTGTTCTCTCCATCAGATTCCTGTGAACTGGAACTGGACACAAACACAGTGAACAGAAACCTCAAACTGTCTGACAACAACAGGAAGGTGACATGTGTGAGAGAGGATCACTCATATCCTGATCATCCAGACAGGTTTGACTGGTGGCTTCAGCTGCTGTGTTCAACTGGTCTGACTGGTCGCTGTTACTGGGAGGTCGAGTGGAGAGGAGTGGTTGATATATCAGTGAGTTACAGAGGAATCATAAGGAAAGGAAAGAGTGAAGATTATGTGTTTGGAAGAAATGATCAGTCCTGGAGTCTGAGCTGCTCTGATGGTCGTTACTCTGTCTGGCACAATGACAGAGAAACATCCATCTCCTCCTCCTCTGTCTCTGACAGAGTAGCAGTGTATGTGGACTGTCCTGCTGGCTCTCTGTCCTTCTACAGAGTCTCTTCTGACTCACTGATCCACCTCCACACCTTCAACACCACCTTCACTGAACCTCTGTATCCTGGTTTAGGGTTGTGGTTCTGCTCATCTGGTTCCTCGGTGTCTCTGATTTGAGTGTAGGATGGAGAGTCTGGAAGTGACAGCAGCTTCAGTCCTGTGGTTTAAATGTTGGTGGTGGACGAGGTTTCAATTTGGTTCATCCTTGAGTCTAAGTGAATGTTTGTGCCGAATTTGAAGAAGTTCTGTTGAGGTGTCACATGTATGACTGAGCAGGACATACTCTGTTCCTCTTCAGGTAATAACCGGCGCCACATGAAGATAAACAAGCCTCCAGCTCCTCATTTTCCTCACACAACGCAGAGGGGAGGGGTCACCTGATCGCGCCAGTTACAGTGAAGTGCAGCAGAGCGGGGTCACAGCTGCGCAATGCGCAAAAAAAAAAACATTGCAAATTTTGGGCAGATATTGTGATTTCAGTTGGAATGGTAGCTTTTGCATTTTCACTGAAAGAAATATGAAATTGATGATGTGATTTTTGTTGGTCTTGTACCAAACAATCATGTTCCTTTACGTCTGGAGAACATGATCTGTAGGTCGAGGCGTCTCTGTAGCACCACAACACTGATGGTGCTAACAATGCTAATGCTAACAATGAACAATAATGTAACACATTTTACCTTCAAAAAAAATTGCAGCCACTGCGATTTGGATATTGCACATATTGTGATTTCGTGGTTTTGTGATTAATTGTGCAGTTCTAACAAAAGTGCAAAAATGATCATGAAAGAAACGTGATCAGTTTGATTGTAAATTGTGAAACCGAAATACTGAGACGCAATAGACTAAGAAAGTGATAACACTGTATTTAAAGTCACTTCACAGCTGATCATATGAAGTTTAAAAGGTGGAACACTTTAACTGAGCAGCCAGACATTATAACGAAGCCTGTTCTCTGCAGGTCGAGCTTCTTGACTCTGGCACAAACTCACATTCTGAACATTTGCAAAACAAACAACAGAAGCCTGTTGTTAGTCCTCTGTTAGGAAAATGTCAGTGTGAGTCGAACAGTCAAACACCTGTGCGGCTTCATGCATTTGAATATGTTGTGTATTAGCAGCAGCTGCAGGCCGTGTTTTGCATGTTGGTGGGTCAGAGCGACGCGACGCTGCGCTGCGCTGCAGACTGACGCTGATCACACAGAAAGATAAGATGCAAAGCGTGAGGGCTCATCACCGTTGTTATGCAGCTGCTCTCATGTCACAGCCTCCAGACACTGCAAATCAACCCACAGTCAAATGAGAGCTCTACGTCATCACCTACGGTGGCCTCATCAGAGGCTCAGCATGGAGACACCTGTGGTCCACTCACAGCAACCTGACCATGGAGCTCTGATGACGTCTGACGTCATTGTCAGAGTACTTGTTTTATTTGATGTGTATTTATTTAATTGTCTAAACGTTATTGAGACAGGTGAGCTGTCACTCAGACGATTCAGGGATCAATCAGCTCGTTTGAAAAGATGATTGACGTTCTGTTTGAGCCAATGAGCGTTCAGCTCAGACTGCAGCCTCTCTATAAGAAGCTCAGTCTCTGCTCCGTGGTCTGCAGGTGTTTCCCTGCCTCCTCTGGTGTGTCAGCGTCCCGCCCTTTGCAGGTTCTGATCCGGTGCAGGTGGGTTTTCTCATGTGAAGCTCACTGTCCACCAGGAGACATGACAGCCGGGAGCCCGGTGCCGTCACCGGACTCCTCACGGAACAAGAGCCAAGCGGCGGAAGACCCGCAGGTCCCGGTTCTCCTGCTGCGGGACATGAACCTGTGTTACCGGCTGCTGCGGCAGCTGGTGCCCGGGGTGCCGCCCGGACGCGCCGCCAGCAGGGTAGACATCCTGCAGCATGTCATCGACTACATCCTGGACCTGCAGACCGAGCTGGACGCCTCCTGCCCGCCCGCAGACCGAGGAGAACCGCACCGCTGTGACCGGCAACAGCAGCGCCCACAGCGGACACAGAGCGGCCAGAGCGCCGGTGTCAAGACCCACACCTGCCAGGTAGGAAACAGTTCATTTCAGTGTATCTGCTTATTGATCAGGTATTGATAGCTGATCAGCTTTGACCGTCTGTTTTCAAACGGCTTCTGTTCATCATTTTGTTTTTGATGGAAAAAAAAATAAAGGAACAAAGAAAACAAAATAATGAAATCTTCTTGTTATTGATTTTATATTGAATTTATTTGGATTAAAGATGTTTGTTTTGGTTTCTTCAGCTTGTTAAACAGCTGCTGACTTTTGTGGTTTTTATATCATATAAAGTCCAGGTCCGTGACGACCTCTGACCTCTGATGCCTCAGCAGTTTTGTGACTGTGGTTTTGACTTTTGTTGATCTGAAAACTATTTGTTTAATATTGATTAAGCTGACTGATCAGGTGCTTTAATGTTTAGGAACCACTGACTGTTCTTGTGGCTGCACCACCACAGAGGGATTTGACCTTTGACCTTGTGGTTGTTCTGGTCACATTCAGAGCTGGACACACACACACACACACACACACACACACACACACACACACACACACACACACACACCCCCTGACCTGAACCTTAAAACCAGATCTGAGCCTTTGAGACTAAATGTCCGGTCCTCACACACAGTCGTGTATCTGTCACTTCAGAGGACAGATCATAACCCTAAGCTAACCTAAAGCTAAAGCTAAGTCAATCTTAACTTAAACCTAACCAAGTAGACACCCTAAAGTTTAATGATACGCAAACTGTGTTCTGCACATCCCCCAAAGGGGGACACACTATGTCCTTTCACTTTAAAAGCCTGTGGACGGTCCTAGTCTAACATGATGCTTCTCCATCTCGCCTCTTGCAGGAGCCTGATTCGACCTGACGTCACCAGAGATACTGAGTCGTCCTTCTCTGGACTCGGTGTCGCTCTTGCCTGAACTGGACGAGGAGGCGATCTGATCTTGTTTGTTTGTTTGCATCATCACAGAAACCTCGGCCACTCAGAATCACAACCTTTGATCCGAGTCTGATTTGGATCAAGTCTGGATTGAATCTGTTAAACTCAGACTTTGAGACAGGAGATGTGAGCCGGACCTGAGATTTAGTTTTGACTTCAGAGTTCCTTTAACTTCCTTTCTATTGTCCTGCACTTCCTGCTTGATTGTCAAAATAAGACTCAAACTGGGACACATCAGAGCTCAGCTGACACAAATCAACCTTTACGGTGACAGTTCATCATTTTCCACCACGATTATTTTTAACTCTCACTCTGGTGCTGCGTTCACTTAAACTGGGAAGTCAGAGCTGGGGGTGACGACACACCTAAGCTAATCGCGCTCTCGAACAGTCAGGACCTTGTTGTTGTTGTTGTTGTCGTTAACAGAACCAGTTGATAACAACATTACAGCGTAGCAACATGTCCCCAGACAGTTCTGTGTGTGCGGCAGCGGCCATCTTGGATTTCAGGTTTGGGAATTCATTGTTTGGTGTTTAGACTTCCCTGTTGAAATGGAGCACATCATGAAATCTGCCACCACAGAAGAAGAGCTTCACAGCTTTGACTCTTCAAAATAACAGTCTGGAGAAATGTGTTAGTCCTTTTTTAAATTCTGGTGTGTTCTTATCTGTTCATCCTCTGTTGTTGTGGTTTTGCAGGAATTATGGGAAATTCTTTCTGCTGCAAATCAAAACAGTACTTTGATATTTTCAGTTGACTCATAGTTTGAACTCAAAATTCTCAGTTTGGTCAAAAGTTTTTAAAATTTAAACTCTGCAACCTGAAATCTGCTGCCACAGGAGGAGGAAATATTAATATCTTTTCAAAGTAAAAGTCTACAGTGTGATCTAATTTATTCAGATTTTTTTGGTTTTATTTTGTGTTAAACTTCTACGACACATTCTGCAAAAAAAAGTCGCACATTTAAATATTTTCTTTGACTTCAGCGGTGGAGTGTAAGGCACAGCCTGTTGCACTTTTATACTGAAAAGTTTGAACTAAATTACAGATTGAATAGTTATTTTTTGACACATTTGTACATAAGTCTGAAATTCAAATAAAAAAATTCACCAAATAGTTTTGGCTCAAATTTTTAAGACTTAAACTCCAAACTGAAGCATTGAGCTTTTTGCCTTTTCAAAGTAAAAGCCAGGTATTCTGAATGATTTTAGTTCAAATTTATTATCAGGGGTTTTTGTATTGTTTTGTGTTTTTTGGTAGAAGTCATACAGACTCCATATTTTTACATTGAGACTTTTTCATCAATGATTAAATTTAGTCTCACAAAAGAAAAGACAAAAAAAATTCACATTTGATCCAAAATATTCTTTAGTCTTTATTTACAAGGATAGCCCCTTGAGATGTCCCATCTCATTTTCGAGGGGGTCCTTACAGATGATACAAAACAAAACGAAACACAAAACCGACATCATAGTAGTAAATTATAATAAAGGTAAATACAACACAAGACTATACAAGACAATTAGACGCAGAGACAACCACACTCATACACACGTACACTCAAACTTTGCTCCCATAGTCACTCCCCTTCCAGCCCACACCATAATCAGAACCAATCAGTGAACCATCTGCCAAAATACAACTGCAAGGTGACATGAATGCACATACATATAATAAACAGCATAAGGGAGAGGAGAGAAGAAAAATAAATAAATAAAAATAAATAAAAAATGAAAGAGAGAGAGATCAGAAACAGGAGCAGGATGTTTGAAGATGAGTAAGAAGAGATGATTTGAAGATATGGAAAGAGGTAATAGACCTGAGTGAACGGGGAAGATTGTTCCAGTCTGTTGGAGCTTTAAATTTAAATGCACGACGACCTATTTCTTTGTTGACTCTGAGTGTAAGGAAGAAGGGATGATCCGTATGCCTTAAGCTGTACTGTGAACTAAAGGGAATTAGGTAATGTTTCAGATATGAAGGGAAATTGAAATGAATACACTTAAAAATAAACAGTGACCAGTGGAGTTGCCTTCTTGACTTTGGGGCCAGCCAGTTCAAGGACTCATATAACAGACAGTGATGGGTTTTATAGGGACATCTAAGCACAAATCTACAGAGACTATTGTGTCTCTATCTGAGGTGTTCCCATAGATAACATCAGCATAATCAAGTAATGGAAGTATCAGTTCAGTTATGATTCTTTTACGGATTTGTTGTGAGAAACAATCAGCAGAACGATAGAGAGATTTCAGTTGACCATATATTTTCTTGGAGATTGAGTTGATATGAGTTTTGAAGGAGAGCTGGGAATCAAGCCAGAGACCGAGATATTTAAATCCATCAACTTTTGTCAGAGCTGTTCCATCAAGGAAAGTAATGGACCAGTTTTTAGTTAAGGGCAAAGAATTAGGTCGAGTATAAAACAACATATTATAAGATTTATTCTTGTTCAAGAGAAGCTTATTGGAAGAGAACCATTTCTGAACTAAGTTAAAATCAGATTGTAGGGAGTGTTGGATTTGTGAGATGTTGGAACTGGAAGAGTATATTACAGTGTCATCTGCATATAAATGAATTAAACAGTCGGAACAGATTTGTGGAAGATCATTGATGAAGATGGAAAATAAAAGAGGACCTAAGGATGAACCTTGTGGAACTCCTTTATCAATAATTTTGAAGTCTGACTGACTGCCCTGAAAAATAACACATTGACTTCTGTGATGAAAAAAAGAATTGAAAAATAATAAAGAGTCAGAAGACAGACCAATTGTATACAGTTTATCCAGGAGAAGATAATGATCAACCATGTCAAAAGCTTTGGTGAGATCAATGAATATAGCACCTGTTGGCATGTTGCTGTCAGATGCTGATAGTATATCGTTCGTGAATTTTAAAAGAGCAGTGTTGGTCGAGAAATTTGGTCGAAAACCAGATTGGTGTGGGGATAATAAGTTATGGTCATTGAGATATTTAGATAATTGATTAAAGATTAGTTTTTCAAATATTTTTGTTATGCTGTTGATAATTGAAATGGGTCTATAGTTGTTAATATCTGTGGTATCACCTCCTTTCTGAAGAGGAGTTACCCTGGCACATTTCCACGATTGAGGTGTTTCACAAGTAGCCAGTGATAAATTAAATAAATCAGCCAGGGTAAATGACAGTACATGAGAGGCAAGTTTAAAAAATTTAATCTCCAGACCATCTGGACCAGCACTGCATCCTGAACTTATCCCATCGATAACCTGCTGAACATCAGTTGGAGTGATGGTTTTGAAGCAGAAGGATTTATATGTGTTCTGAGTCGGGGTAAAGTCAGAATGAGAAGAAAAAAAAGGAGAGCTGCCAATTGTGGAGAAGTGCTGACTGAAGGCCTCTGCAATTATTAAAGGTTCGCCGACAGTTTCACTGTTTATTCTAATATGAGTAGTGGGGCTATTTGTGGGCTTGTTGGTTACACAATTGATTCTCTTCCAGAATTGCTTTGGATTCTTAAAATCAGTTGATAAACAGTCCTTATAGTAATTTGCTTTGGCATTTCTAGTATTGGTTTTACACTCTTTAGACTTTAGACTCTTTGTAAGCCTCCCAGTCAGCAGAATCCTTTGATATGCGGTATTTTTTCCATGCCTTGTCTCTTTGTTTGAATAAATGTATGAGATCTCCTTTGATCCAAGGTAGATGTCGACCCTTAACTTTAATTGATGTCCAAGGAGCATGTTTATCAATTATCTCGACAAATTCCTTATAAAGGTAATTCCATGCATCTTCAGCAGATGGAATTAAGTGAAATCTCTCCCAGTTTATATTTAATATATCTTGGATAAAGTGTTCAGGGTTAATGTTATTCGGTTTCCTTACTTTGATTAATTTAGGAGGAAGATGAGGCATTTTAATTTTCCAGATACAAAAAACAATAGGAGTCTGGAGTTTTCCTGGACACCTGAACGATGACGGCACTCGATCACCGGAGGAGTGGAGAAATTCACTTCACCTAGAAGCTGCGGGATCAGATCTCATGAAGCCTAGGATTTCTCTGGCCTCGGCCCTCTCAGGTATGCCGGTGAATCGTAGGTTGGAGCGTCTGCTTCGGTTCTCAGCATCTTCAGCCCATAATTTCAGGTCAGTGTTTTCCTTTTCAAGCGCTTTTACACGTTTGACCAGGTCTGTTATATCATCCTCATTTGAGCTGACTCTCTACTCAAGCTCATTGACCTGCTCTCCAAGCATTTGAAGTGAGCCATCTATTTTGGTCAGACTGGCTCCAAGTGAGTCAAATTTATTGTCCATGTGTGAGATCATATCGAGCTTCATTTGCTGCATCATATCCAAAATACTTTGGAGAGTAATTGGCTCGTCACCCATTGAGAGGCCAGCCATTTTTCCACTCACACAAAGAGAAGAGTGTGGTCCAGTAACTAGTTGGTTTGAGGCTGAAAATTACTTTAGTTTACGTTTCTTGATAAACCACTAGTAGAACATTAACACCAAAGTAGTTTTAGAGTGGAGATATATATCACAATGACCTCATTAAGCGAAAAGTTGGGCCAGCAGACTGCAGCTTGTAGCTCACCCTCACACCACGGCAGCCATGATATCAAAACACAAACTGATGTTTCTGACATCCTTAAAACTTTTACAAAACATTAAAGCTCCTCCAGTATAAAGGTCTCTGTCCATGTGTAGTTTAATTATAGATCAGGTAACAAAAACAATTCAAATATGAATGTAATTTTAAAAAATAGTCACGAAGCATCAACGTTCAGACGTTATTTATTCATGTTTTAGTGCAGGACAGATTCCACTAACTTCACCTTCACACCACGAGTCACATGATCACAGAACAACACTGTAAACCTCTACAACAACTTCATCATCATCATCGACGTGCAGCTTCATGCAGACGACACGAGAACACGGACCTGACACTGAGCTCGTCACCAGCGTTTATACTTCATGTTTATTTCTACAAATACATTTTGGCTGATTTTTTAAAATCCTTTTTAATTCTGGAGAAAATCTGAGCTGCAGAGAAAACTTTGTTCCATCACAGATTTAATGAAAGTGAAAAACAAACCTGAAGTTCAAAGACTTCCCTGACATTTAATCCAATGGGACACATCAAATCATCATCAATATCTAAAAGCCTTCAAAAGTCCGATAATGTTCAGTTTACGATTGATTATCAGAAGAGCTGCCCATGAGTTTTTGAGTCAGTTTGAATAAAACGCTAAACTACAAACACAAAAACCACCAACACTGAACGACTTAATACTGACACTACAACAGCTTTTATCTGAAGTCAATAACCTGAATCACAGAGAAGTGAATGTGGCAGGGGTGGATGAGGTTTTCAGTGTGTGAATCCACAGCAGCAGATCTGACCTCTGACCTCCATGGAAAACGTCATGAGAAAGAATCTGACTGTTACTACACTAAGATCTTTTATTTTAACTAATTTTATTTCTAACACCTGGAGGATCAATCCTCCTTCAACCACAGAAACAAACAGGATGAAATGTAAAAAAAACATGAAAGAAAAAGACAAACTGAGAAAGTTGAGTCATTAAAATGATAATTAAATAGAAATAATGAACTGAGAATAAATTATATTCAGACAGAATATTATAGTTTCCTGATGTTTCTATATAATTGTTAACTAGAGAAAGTTCATGTTTAGGTCTTTCCACAATGGGAGGATTCAGTGAAACATTAATGTATAGCCTATAGCATGTACTTATGATGATGATGATGTAACTATAGATTCATCAGCTCGTTCTTCATGACGACTCCTGACTGACTGAAAGAGAATGAATCTATATTTATGGATCTGAGCTTCAGTCCATCAGACA